AGCTGTGTCCAGAAAGTCAAAGAAGGCTCAGACTTCATAGAAACTTTACTGAGGTTAGCGTAAAGCACGTGGTCCTTTTTTTTTTGCTAAGTGGATTTTTATTTTGAATCTTTCACTCTTAGAGATTCATTCCCTCTCTCCTTAAGACTCTTGACTTTGTTGCTGTCTCTCAGTAATCTTCCCTCCAGCAATGGAGAGATTTCAGGCACGGCTCTCAGACACTCAGATTTAGCCTTTTTTAGCTTTCGGGTCAAGGAGGAGATATTTTCTGTAACACTGTAAGAGTGTTTATGAGGCTACAATGGTTAAAAAGCTGCCCCCTCCTATCTGTCGACCCACCTGTGGGGAGGACAAGGAGTGCGAGGGTCAGCATTTAGAGGATTCAGAGCTCCAACAGAATCCAGTAAACATTCTTTTTCTCCTTGAGAGGGTTTGTCATCTATCTTGAAGCTGACAGAGTGAGTGTTGAACTGTGTGCATCATGTTCTGTTATCTGTCAAAGCCAAAGGGAGAAAAATACATTGAGTACAATTTACAGATTAAATCACTGAATTTTTAAACAACAATGTGAGGAATTTGTTTGGTAAGATGGGTTTTTATGGTTTTAAAGAGGAAACTTTTTTCACATACTGTGCCTGTTATGTTGATAAATAGATCAAACCAAGGAGATAAAGAGTACAAGAGAAAAATAATACAGGTGAAAATACAGAAGATCTGCTCATGATGAGATGTCTGTGTGAAGAGGTTCATTATAAGGACTGCTGTGCCTGGTATATACTGGTTTTTTAATAAAAAAAAAAAATACATATATACCTAGTTATTACTGCTAATAGGGTTGGTCATCTGATTTAGATACACCTGTTGTTATTCTGGTTAAAACGATCTTTATGTTCTGATGGCAATTAATACACAATGTGTTCTTGAAAAAGAGCGAAAAATAACTGCTATCTACAGCAGGCGTAAAACTGGGAAAACACCAACCAATCACATCGTGTGGGTCCCACATTTTTAAACCAATGAGGTGAGACTAAGTCCTGAGGAGATGCTACATTCAAATTCATGCTAATTTGCAGTGATTACCAACCCTACCTTTAAGACTAATGACATGACGGAAACTAGAATTGAAAAAAACCAAAATACTTTTGTTAACTGAAACATATAAAAACTACAATTAAAACAATAAACAATAATTAACTGAAACTGTATTGTGTGTTTACAAAACTAACTAAAACATATTGGCCTTTATTTATCAAGCTTGCGTACGGCAAAAAAATTTGACGTGAGGATCAATATTTATGAATCTGCATGTGAGCGTACACTATGACCAAATCTCACGACAGGTCTGACATCATGTATGCAAGTTTGAGTCAGTGTGGATCTACGGTGCAGCAAATGTCTGTCTCAGAATAACAGATAAACAAACCTCAAACCTGTCATTCAGCACAATCAGCCAGACTTCATTAAAGATTAAGATCTTCATTAAAGATTAAGATGTAAATAAAATAAATTTGTTATGTCCTTAGTGAAAAGACCTATTTGATAACTCTGCCCAGAAACACTGCCACAGAGCAAAAGCGCTGTTTTAACATTGCGCACATATGCACCTCTGTGGAGCGCTGCGTTTGACTCCTTAAAGGCAGGTGACTCTGTCTTGGCCCAGCAGAGGGGACATTGTTGTACACTCCTGAAAGGGTGTAGGACATCATTTGGGCCGGTACTACAGTTTTGCACAATGTTGCACTGGCGAATGGCGTGCCGTTGGCTGTGCCGGTCCAACGTGAGGACCTGATGCCCGGAGAACAATAACAAGAAGAGACTCCACAAAAGGTGCTGTACAGAGGAGACAGGACCTTATCGATGGATTCTGATGTGAAGTCCAAGTTTAGAAAGTGCTCTTGCTATTTAATCAGTGATAAAAATCCAATAGAAATCCATAAAAATGTGCCTCAGGGGCAGCAACACACCGTTTGGTGACATTAATAATTATTTTTGTTGAGCCTCTGTCAGACTCTCCAGTCTGCTCTACATTACAAAGACGCAACAAATTAAAACTAAATACTTTCAATAATCGGAGCAACATACCCTATGTCATGGAAATAAAAAAAGAGGCATGTATGAGATATTAATTTTTCATTATGAGCAACTTATTGACTAATGATTTATTCAAACTTCAGCCACGGTCCACTATTCCGCAACATAATCCTGCTCCAGACGGGGGTTTTCTGGACTGCTTTCATACCAGTTTTGATGCTTCCAAGGAGAAAATCCTTGTTAGTTTCCACCACAGATGTGAGGATATCCACTTCCAGCTCGGAAAAGTTTCGCATCTTTCTAATATTTCTCCTCTTTCATGTTTGACCTCAGTGGGCGAGGCTTCTGAACCACGAATAGTAAATAACCTTATTGCCAAGTATGGAAAACTAAAACTAATAAAAACTCAACTAAAACTCACCATTTAACTAACTAATGAAAACAAACAAACCCACTCCAAAAACTAATTAAAGCTAACTAAATTAGAGAAAAAAATTCAAACAAAATAAATCTAAAATATAATGAAAAATCCAAAACTATTATAACTTTGTTTTGAACAGATAACTTTGTGCTAGCTTGTTTTAAGATGGATGTAAACTGTGAAGTCAGTCATGTCTGCTATGACTCGACTCTCCAATAGCTGCCTCGAAGGCGAGGGACCAGGAAACCTCCCCTTGACAGGCACAGTGAACAGACAGTGTATCTTTGATGATTTAGAGTTGAGAACTACTACAAAACGTCTTATTAAATTTGCTCCCTTATCTACTCAAACTAGAATAGAACAAAGTTTGGACATGTTGGTGACAACAGTAAAAGTGCTAATAAAAATATCAAACTGGTAGTGGGCTGCATAAAAAGAAACTTTAATAATAATTAAAAATGAGAGAGCATGGAGCAGGGAGGCTGAGAGGATCTACAATAGCGCTACACTTTCTGTGGTTAAAAGACTAACTCAGTTTGTTATGTGAATCGTTGCTTCATTTTGAATGACAGATCCCCAGTAGGGGAGATATGATGAAAATGTTCAACCGTTCACCTAAAACATTTTGTCTTGTTCTTGTTTTGTTACAAACACAAGCGGTATTCATCAGAGTTTTATCATTACTGTTGTATCTCAGCTGATCATTTCTAGAAAATCAGCCTTGATTATGACCACAACCCTGCTCATAATAAAGGGCTGATCTTTATCTGAGGTGTTTTGGTGGTTTTAATGCCTCGACCTCTGGTAAGAGTGTCCAAGTTAGAAAGTCTGTCCATCAGATCAGTCTGTATCAGCTGTCAAACATTGGTTTTGTTTGTAATCAACACGTACATTTATTCAGTACTGAAGGCCTATTTCTGTCTCTGAGCTGGTGCAGCAGCAGGGGAGCTGTTTGATCCTGATGACTTGATTAGACATGCATGTTAATGAGGATCTAATGACTGAAATCGGCTCTTTATGTGTCATGAGCATTGATCCAGTCCACAGGCTTCAGCACAGCATGGCTGATTTGTTTGATACCTTTTGAGTGGCAGTATCACAGTTTTCAGGTCAAACAAGACTCTATGGTAAATAAGTCTAAAAGTGATGGAGGATGATTAATTTGCATCATTTGATCGTTCTGTTGTATTGTCAGTGTTTATGAAATGATAATTTCTATAATTAGCATTAAACAGAGAGAATGAGGCTTCACACTGAGAGCTTTATGATGAATGTTTGCCTCTGTACTGTCATCATCTTGCACAATTACCCCATCACTCATCAGGATATTATCCTCACCCTGTGTGATCAATAGTCTGGAAAAGTTGTCTGACACTGTGGATGTGTCTCCCTTTTTCATTATACTGTCACAGGCACAACATGTACTTGATTTGACGGAGGGGTCCATCATGATGAACGTCAAACATTCAGTGAGTTTCATCATTGAATCTGACTTTATGAGAAATACAGAAGAAAGTGTGATTGCTACTGTGCTGAGGCAGAGGTCATGTACTTCTGCAGATGGCTGATCAGCCTTCTGGGTAGAGATATGGACGGGTAACAGAAACCTGGAAAAAGCCACATCCTCCTCCTGTACAGACAGCATTCAGATGTGGCTGCACAGGGAACAACGTGTTTCTGAGCTGAACACAAAATCAGACATTGTCAGGCACAGAGAGGGGATTCAACTGCAGAGACAGTCTGAGGGCTCTATTTTGGTGCCTCGCCGGAGACGTGCCGCAAGCGCAGCGTCAATCAGATCCGCCGCGCTGACGAGGCGTTCCCAAGCACATTTTGGTATTTTGGTGAGCCGCACAGCCCGGCATAAGTATCCCCCCTCCCTAACTCAGCTCCTCCCGGCAGCATAATTCGTAGACGGGGAGGAGAGAGGGCGTATAGGGGTTTAACACAGCCGAGACCTGTTTTCACCAATCACATAAGCTCCTCTCCTTGCCTTTAAATCCGCCACCGGCGAGGCGTATTACTATTTTCATGAAGTAGTCAAAGAGATCAAGAGATGTCTGAAGACAGCTATGCCACACGATGGCGACAGAGGGCAGCTGCTCAACAAGTGTCCTCCACACTCTCTCATCTGAGCACAGATAGATTTGGTGTGCGTAATGTTGGACCCACTGGTAAGACAAACACCCTTTTCCACAAAAAAGACACTCACATAAAGTTGCATATATTCAAACCTCACGTGACAAAGGTGGGTTTAGCGCACAGATCACAACATAAACTCCAAAAATGGCATTAAAATCGGAACCATCTGTGCGTAAATGACGCATCGCGCTCCGTGGCCTGGCTCTTTCTTTCATAGATGTTGGCGTATAAAATAAATTTGGCCCACAAAACTGAATATTATAATATCCGTATGTCAGCTTAAAGTAGATAACGCATCTGATCACTGAAACAAATCATCTGTTCAGCCGCAGCAGCTGCAGCAAGACGGACAGAGGACACGGAGACGTGTCCAGGTCGAGCTGTGCGAGAAATAAGAGGAAGAGGAAGAAAGAAAAGGAGGGAGACACATTACATATCTTGTTAACTTCATCATGTGTGTTTATTTACTAGATATTTAATTTAATTTGATGCAGTTTCAGCTGTATTGATTCGGTCAGGTTGTGTGCCCAAACGCGTGCCAAACGCGCTCATCAGATCAGATATAGATCAGAATATATCGATATAGATCTAAATGTATGTGCTGACTCAGATTAATAGTTGTTGATGATTATTTATTGCACTGAAATGTGCCTGACACTGTGGAAACCTGCCGGTGAGGCATCAGTGACGTATGTCGATACGCCGCCGGTCTACCAAAATACTACTAGACCAGCTGCGTTCCGCCTTGCGCTGAAAGCTGACCAGGTTTGAATCGGCGAGCTTTCAGCGCACGTTACACGCCGGTGGCGAGCACGAAAATGTCACTGCGCCAGCTGATTCTGTCAACACCTCCCCCTGCCACGCCACCACGCCCAGCTTGGCGGATCTCGGCTCGCCTCCGTGCGACTCAGTCCACGAAAATACCAAACTCGCCTTACACCGGGCTCCGCCAGACGAAAATACAACTGCGTGGGGCTCGCCGCCCTCCGCCGCCTCACCGGCGCGAACGAAAATAGAGCCTTAAGTGTTCACAAGAGTCTTTCATCCAGAAACAAGTTTGGTACACAGAGAGTCAGTTCGTGAGAGCAGAGGTACAAAGTCCGGCAAGCAAAAATCTGAAAACAAGATCAGGTAAATGGGTCAAAACATGAGGAGTACAAACAAGAGAAAAAGCTGTATGTATGAACTAGGAAGATAGCGATAATCTGGCAGAGAACTAACACCAGGGCTTAAGAAGGAAAGGGGAGTGAGGCTAACAAGACACAGGTGCAACACATTTGTCATTTATTTGTTATTGCTTTGTTAATTTTGTTTTGTTATTGTTGGCTTTGTTTTGTTTTCCATGGATATGTATTTCTACGTATCTGTATTTGAGGATCCCCTCGAAAACGAGATGGTTCATCTCAAGTGGTTATTCCCAATAAAGAATTTCAAGACATTTTGGAGGGAACCGGTGATCAACGGTGAGGGTGGCAGCACAACAAGAATGGAAAGAGAAGATAGACAAGGGTTAAAAAATAAAACAAATAGATATATCAACTTGGGAAATAATAGGGAATAATAAGGGAAATAATAAATCAACTTGACAGATACTGACAGACATGATCCTTTGGAAGTCTTACTATTTTAACTGGTCTTTGAATTCAATGATGGATTTAAGTGGATTCAAGTGAGACTGTTTGCTCTCACTAAAATTGGCCTAACAGCAATAAAACTGTTCCTGTATGAACTGATTCATTACTGAAGTCACGAAGACTCATTAAGGTCAACTTCATTTTAACTCTGTACACCTCTATCAGTGTAGTAGCATTACTACTACCCCAATATTCAATAAGTTCCATTTATTAGCGCAAACAAATATGATTAGGCATGAAAAGACTGAATCAAGTTCTGATCCAGCTTTGAAGTTTATCAGCAGAGATTTAAATGCTGTCATGATCTCTGCAGTACGAAATAACATCAGATATTAGGATGGACTCTCTTTAGTCATTGCTTCAACATTCCTCATATTTATGAATGCAGCATTTGCAGAAAGTCCCAGGAGCTCTATGGAAATCTGTAATGAATGTTAAAAATGATCACTCATCAATGAAAGGAAGGAGACTAGAAGTTTCCAGTCAGCAAAATACATTAGCTGAGATCAGTCTAGACCTGCTAAGAGCTAAAACTGTGGGGCACTGACACTCTGTGAGTAATTTATGTGCACATACCCCATAAGCCGTTATCCGTTATCTCATTTATCAGCACCTCTGTATTGACTGTTGTGCCATTATCATTCCCTTTGTGTTCCCAGTTTAAAGCGGCTGTATTTCACCTCTATTGATTTGAATGCCCAGTCCGCTGACCTCGCTGTCTACATAATTTTCTGGATAGATGTGTTAAGGACTTAGCAAAGAAAGAGAAAAGCTACATGGTTGCTTCGACAGAAACTCAGGTTGGCGTCATACCTAGCTTATCAGTTGTGATAATTACTTCCAGAGGGAGTCAGAAGGTGACAGGTTTTGTTCCTCTTCTGTCAGCAGGAGATCATCTGATAATTGTGTAAACTGCGGTGCAGGAAGCCTGTTTTGCATATAAATGGGTTGCAAAGGCTGTGATTCCCAAAGGGATGACTAAGTGAGGAAAAATGCGTTTGACACACTGGGAAAGATAATAATAATAATGATAATAATAATAATGATGATACTACTACTACTACTACTACTACTACTACTACTACTACTACTACTACTACTACTACTACTACTAATAATAATAATAATAATAATAATAATAATAATCATCATAATCATCATCATCATCATCATCATAATAACAATAATAATCATAATAATAATAATGATACTTATACTCGTCATGTATTGTATTGTAACAAATAACATAATAAACAGCCTATGATCTCCAACTTCACCTCATTTATACAGTGGCACAGTGGAGGAGACAATGCGGAAGAGTTACCTGTACTTGAATATATGTACAAAGGAAATTGAACATTTGGTTTGTTATACAAGGTAAAATGAAAATGTGGGATCTAACTTCTGTTGGGGGCATGACAGATGGGGGTCTCAGCACTGAGGGATAGTCACTGGAGTCTCAGCATCAGTCATGAGGATGGCAGACACATCATGACAGAGAGTGGTTTTACCAATGATTTGTGTTTATGTTAGTTGGTATTTCAAAATTTTAGGGTCTGTTTCATGTGCAGGTGTACAGTAGATAAAAACAAGTAAAATAAGGCCATTATTGTCTTAGATATACTTATAGTTGCTATAAGTAGCTATTACATTTTAAGACTGCAATTATAAGGCTAATGGGAAAAATGTGGTCATTCAATGTGAAAACAGACTAGAGGGGCAGTTTAACATGTTTGATGTTACATTTTTGAACTGTGATCCCATGCCAGGTGCCATCCTATCAACACCTGGCTGTGTTGTTAAAGCGCAGCTTTTCTTGCCCTTATGGTAGCAAGATTAGCAGCGCTAGCGTGACACTACTCAGCCTCTTGACTCAGATCAGCGCTAAGACTGGACAATGAGACAATGACAAACGATGAACAGATTTGATCTTAGAGATGATTGTGGAGATGTTTCTGAAGTTTTTTCAAGTGTATTCAATAATACCCAGTGATCCACTGGACCAAAGGCAGCAAGAAGATCCAAAAACAACATAGCAGAAGTCTAGTCCAAGTCAACATCTAACAACAAGTCACTTGCAACCTCAGTCAGTGCTTTATGCTAAATGAAGAGTGCAGCAGCTCAAAAAGATCATTAGATGTTGAGTACTTTTACATTTTTGAGATGTAACGTCAAACAGGCTCTTAGACAAGAAAGACAGATTTGAGAAAGATCTGTGGTGTGTTTGTAACTCTTAAACAATGGTTTACCATAGCAGTCTTAAAACAAGATATTCATCACAAAACCTGTAACTTTTTAAAACAATCTTAAGATTGCTTAGCAGGACTTTTTTGAGTTGAAGGATCTTTACAACTAGCCTGAACTTTTACTCAACACTATTTCCTACAGCTGAATTTCCGACAGCTGTATGAATCATACAGGTTATGTTATTGTTACTTTTATTTATCGTCTGTTAGTTGTCTTTGCATCACTTGGCTACAGATCTGTGAGAAAAGCAATTTGGCTCAGCTGCTTTTCAGGACCTGTTCAGATGACTGACAATGAAGCTGAGCTGAGTTGATGGTCTGGTGCTTGTGGATGCTCTGTATGTGCCTCACACTCTGCTGGATGTCATTTTAAGCCTCACTCTGATACCGTCTCTCCCTCTTGCGCCTGTAACTCACTGTGTAAACTCTCCAAATAAAACAGCCTCTGGCTCTCCCTTTGCAGCTTTTACTCAACAGTAAAGCTCTCCACACATGTTGTTGTTTCCCTATAGCTCTCTCATCATCTGGATCATCTGGCTCTCTCTCAGTTTCTGCCTTGTCATAAATGATCATTACCAGGGGTGAAATAGTTGTAATTTTTTGTGCATCTACAATAAAAGTCTGTAAAAGTCTTTTGGTACATCTTGAGACTCTTTCTGCTGCTGCACATGTGTTCACATAAACACAAGCTCCCACATGCAATCAAGAGCTAGATTTATCATAATGTGTATGCATTACCAGCAGTGCCATCGATCATAGACATTAATAAATGGATCCATATTGGACACACTGAGGCAGAGTGGCTCTGTGATCCTGCAGAAAAAAATGTGCATTAATATTTACAGCCTACTGTCCTCTGATTTTACGCCCACTAATATCCCCTGGGCTGCAGTTGACCAAAGAACCATCATTTCACACCCATCATCGATCAGTATGTCGAGAAAGAAAATGTGTATAGATAAATGAATTGCATGCTGATACACAGCCACCAGTGTGCACCTGCTTTTATTCATATAACCCCTGATGAGAATACAGGGATATGAACTGGTGATCAAAGCATGTGAACCGTTCATTAAAATTTACATGATTACAGTGACCTCCAACAGGACCCATTTTTTTTTTTGTTTTACACACAGAGCCACACATACTGATGTGATCAGACTGATCTGAAAACACCTTCCAGCTTTTACTCTAAATCACAAACAAGTTACAGCATCTATCTATCTATCTATCTATCTATCTATCTATCTATCTATCTATCCATCCATCCATCCATCCATCCATCCATCCACGCACGCACGCACGCACGCATGCACACCCCTTTTATAACCTGTTACCTGGACATTTAAGATAAGGGAAATACCAATGAATGAAGTAAATGAACATTTCATTCATTCATTAGTAAATGAATGAATGTCTAAATGAAAGGATCATTGGTTTACAAAGCCTGACTGAGAGCTGTTACACTCATTTTCCTTTCATTATGTTTACTGAACAGAGATTAATAACTGGAAACTAACAAATCCAGCCTCAGGGGGGAAATCCTCTGGATGAATGAAGAGACATCTTAATGTTGTTTCAATTTGTTCAGAGGTGTTGATTTATCTTTTTGCTTGATTAAGTAACAGAACAACAGAGAGGAAAACATAACTGCTAACCAAAATCTTCAACACAAAATCTCAGTTTTATGCTCTAACACACTTAAGACAACATCAAAGTTGTGAAGTTTAGCCAAAACAGCACTCCAATGAAAACGGTGTCAAGAATAAGACTACACTATTATTATTATTATTTTTTAATTCTGAGTCTGGACTCCCATCTGTTTGATGTCACATACCTGTTCAAAAGTCCATTGTTGTACATATATGCCCAACAGTGGACTCTGATGATAGAATATGTGGAGCTACAGAGAAAGAACAGGGACTCAGCCATTACCCAGGTTAAAGCCAGAAAACTACTCAACTGTGTTCCTCAATGCTGTAAAAGACTGACATCATACAGTGTTGTTAGGTCCTTCAAGCTACTCTGAAACTACTGCTGGGTTTATTTTATGCAGATATATGAAAAGGACTGTGGAATTCTATTTATCAACTCATTTGACCAAGTTTCCTGGTGATTCCTGTAGAAGCATCACAAACAGCTTCCATGTTGGGGTTTCCACTGTGGCAAGCATCATCACAGATGTTATCTCTGCTATCTGGGACTGCCTTATGGACAACTGTATGGCTGCGCCCATGACAGAGGAGTCATATATTGCTGTATTCACTGCTAATAACTCAGCAAGGGAGGCCTGTAGGCTGAGGGAGACCTTCACATCCTTCTTTTCTGCAGAAGAAAGTAGCTCGAGGGCAGGTGATGCACAAGCTCAATATGGCCCTTTAGAGAACCAAACACTCCCACTATTGAGCCAAGCTCCTGCATTGTTGCAGTTTAAAATTAGCTCATCAAATATCTTCATTAATAACAACCTTATGATTATACACTGGAATAAAAAGAAAACAACTTTAAGGGGGCTTGCTGCTGCTGTCCTCTGAGGGTCTCCAGGAGCAGGACCTCTATTTTCCCCTCCTGCCCTCTGTACTTCCAGGCCCTCCTCTGTCCTATGACAGCGAATTACATCGTGTAAAACCACTTCATTACTTACTCACCTCCTGTCACACTCCTTTTCTCTCACTTGGAGGTATGTCCCCCTCAGTCCCTTCCAGTTACATTGGCGGGTTTCCTCTGGTAAAAAGCAGTGAATCAACTCCATAGACTGTATATACTATGGACAACTTGGTTCTGCCTTCTGCCAGTATACGGATTTGAAACCAAAAAGCTCTTGGTAATTCTGTGTTTTCTCTCCACTCTGAAACCAACATTGCGCAATAGTGTTGTATGCACTCCACCACTTGCGAAGAAGCGTTATATGCATTCGGCAGGAGAGTCTCCAAGGTCACTGTGATGACACTCGGCTCAAACAGCGTATACCCAGGGTGAGCTACGCAATCTTCATACGCCCATGGGCTGTATCAAGTGTCAATCATAGAAAATATGAACCCCCTAATAACCTTGAAAAATTGAGCTTCACAGAAAAAAGAGGAATTGAGCACAAACTAGTCTTACAGTAACTACATGTCAACACCACAACAAGGGGGGAGAAAAAATTATATTCTGTGTAATTAATTTCTAAAGTTTGTCCACATCTCCATAGGGGTGGCTAAAGGAGGCAGGATTTATGACCTATACTGCAGCCTGTCACCGGAGGGTGCTGTTCTCTGGGTTGCTTTACCCAGTGAGGAGGCAGACGGCGTCCATTTTATATACAGTCTTTGATCAACACCCAGAGTCAGGACGTTTATAACTGGCTAGCAATAGTTGTGCTAACTTTAAGAGATGCTGGCTAGCTTTGCCATGCAACCAATTGCATGAAAATCAAAATACATGATACATATTATTTTACTACTTGACAGGTATCCCCATCTCTTTGCTGATCTCCTGCCAGGCCAACACTGTACACTGTACTAACTTAGCAACAGAAACACATAACATTACTGTGTTACAGACCATTATAACCCCCATTACCTCCAACATTCGATGTGTTAAGGGTTCTAATACCATGACATTTATAAAAAAGTCCACCATTCCTGTTCCCTTATATGATCCCTGCTTCTGTATGACTCATGGTTACAGCTCAAAGGTTCTTCATTTCATTGTACTGTTTTGCTCAGAACATTAAATTCAGAGTTTTGGGGTATACCAGCAGTGTGCCTGAGTCTTATTATGGACACAGTTTTCAGAGGGAAGATGGCAACTCTTATAAAAGGTTAATGAAGTCATTCAGAGGTTAAATGATGACGCACGTGTTTAATATGAATTACGGTGTAGAGTGTGTGTGTGTGTGTGTGCGTGCGTGTGTGTGTGTGTGTGTGTGTGATGTTAGATTTATGCAAAAACTGACAGATTTTGCAAGGACTTATGCATTTCATCAAAACCCTTTACAGCCACTGTCCCACCTCTGCAGCCTCCTCCTGTTTGAGCCAGTCTCAGGAAATGTCACTCTGTCCAGACACAGAGCTCTATTTTCGTGCTTCGCCAGAGACGTGGTGCAGGTGTGGCGTAAGTCAGGTCTGCCGTGCTGACAAGGCGTTTCCAAGCACAATTTGGTATTTTGGTGAGTGCCGCAGCCCGGCGTAAGTATCCCCTCTCCCTCACTCAGCTCCTCCCAGCGGCGTAAGTCATAGCGAGGGAAGAGAGAAGGCGTGGAGTGGGTTTAACACAGCCGAGACCTGTATTGACCAAAAACATAACCCCCTATCCTCGCCTTTAAATCCGCCACCGGCGAGGCGTATTACTATTTTCGTGAAGTAGTCAAAGAAATCAAGAGACATCTGAAGACAGTAATGCCACACAATGGCGACAGAAGGCAACTCCTCAACAAGTGTCGCTGTAAACGCTGCAGGGGGCGTCCTCCACTCTCTCATATGAGCTCAGATGTATTTGGTGTGTGTAATGTTGGACCCACTAGTACGACAAACACCCTTTTCCACAAATAAAGACACTCACATAAAGTTGCACATATTCAAACCTCACGTGACAAAGGTGGGTTGTGCGCAGAGATCACATCATAAATTCCAATAATGGCATTGAAATCAGAACCATCTGTGCGTAATGACGCATTGCGCTCCGTGGCCTGGCTCTTTCTTTCATAGATGTTGGCATATAAAATAAATTTGGAATTTCATATCGTTAACTTCATCATGTGTGTCTATTTACTAGATATTTAATTTAATTTAATGCTGTTTCAGCTGTGTTAATTCGGTCAGGTTGAGTGTCCGAACGCGTGCCAAACGCGCTCATCAGATCAGATATAGATCAGAATATATCGATATAGATCTAAATGTATGTGCTGACTCAGAATATTAGTTGTTGTTGGTTATTTATTGCACTGAAATGTGCCTGACACTGTGGAAACCTGCCAGTGAGGCATCGGTGACGTATGCCGATATGCCGCTGGTCTACCAAAATACCACTAGACCAGCTGCACTCCATCTGCGCTGAAAGCTGACCAGGTTTGAATCAGCAAGCTTTCAGCGCACTTTACACACCACTGGCGAGCACAAAAATGTCACTGCGCCAGCTGATTCTGTCGACACCTCCCTCTGCCATGCCACCACGCCCAGCTTGGCGGACCTCGGTGCGCCTCAGTTCATGAAAATACCAAACTGGCTGTACGCCGGGCTCCACCAGACGAAAATACCACTGCGCGGGGTCCGCCGCCTCACCGGCGGACACGAAAATAGAACCCACAGTGTTAATGAGCTCCTCAGATACTTAGAACAACCAGCCCAGAGTGAAGCTGGATTCTCTGACCGCTTCTTTCTTCATATCTTGAAGTTTTGTATGAAACTCAGTCATAGCAGTGCTCTGGAGTCTGGTGAAAGTGTTGGAGGCACATTTAATTGATTTATAACAGCTTTGTCCCAGAGGCTTCGATCAGATTCATGCAGACACTAATTAGTCTTTCCTGCACAGGCAGGATTCATCCTGTTGGAGACGATTGTGTCCAAAAGTCTGAAGATCACAGGGAAGACTGGGTGAGGGTCTAGCGATTTTGTATAACTGTAACTGCTTATTTAACTGTACTGCCCAGTGAGTTGAATTTTGAGTATTTTAAGCAGGAATAAATCCACTGCATTATTTTGGATTCACAGGATTCAGTTTAGAGTTGTCATTATTCACAGTAACTATTCATTCCTCTTTAGTACTTATTATGTAGGATTACATGCTTTGTAAGATTTGATCGATACTGAACCTGCTGGGCCTCACACATTAGGTGGATGTTCTTGTCAAGGTCAGAGTTCACTTTTATTATTCCTGAGAAAACCAGAATAAGAATAATGAAAGCAGTCACCTGTACGCTGATAATAGATAAAATCAGACACTGGAAGAGGGAAATGAAACAGTAAATACATTGAGTAAAACAAATGAAAGAATAAATGTGTATTGTACAGCCAGTGTCAGAGTTCTTTTTGTCTTCATGTACCTGGAGCTTCTCATTCTATCATTCTAGGAACTGCTGTTCAGGGAACTCAATGGTTCTTGCAGCCTATTGTTGTCTGTGTTTCTGCCTAAAGTGGGGCCTGAAGTCCTCAGGAGATCTTGCAAATTAGGCCAATGACAGCCAGGACACATTGAAGATGAGGTCACCTGTAAGATGTTTTGTTTGTTAAAAAATAACATGGGGGGCAACTTGGGGATCACAGTCCCCACAGTGGTCGTGGGGCTCGAGTCATACGTCCAACCTGTGCTATCAATAAAGTCAAAAACTTGCAAAGAAAATAAATAAATAAAATAACATCAGGCTGCAGAAAAAAAACAAACAAACAAAAAACCTTTGCCCTTTACAGTCTCTTTGTAAGTAAATTTCCTGCAGTAGAAAAGCATTTTATTCCTGCACGGTGTCAGGCTGTACCTGTGACCAGAAGGAGCAGCTTGGACTGCACAGAGGATCATCATCATCCTTTTAGTACAGAGTTCAAGCTGCTTATTTATGAATGAGTTTCTCAACAGTCACCTGTGAATTATACAATTAGTCAAGTCTGATCAAAACACCCAGACCCAGTCATGATGAAAGTCTCATTACAAACGTCCCCTAAAAAGGCACATCACTAGGGTTGGGTATCGTTTGATTTTGAACGATTCTGATTCCGATTTTGATTCCTCATTTCGATTTCGATTCCTATCGATTCTTTATTTCGATTCTTTTAAAAGGCAGGATTTGAATGAGGGCGCTAACCGGAGCTCTTCTTTTTGGATGAAATTTCTGAACTTCTCCATGAATTTTTAAATTATATAAACTTTTTAAGAACTTTACTATGAATTTCTCACATTTTCAACCAGTATATAAATATCAATTTTTGTTGTCAGGTCGTTTGTCTATGAAAAAGTACAAGGGCTAATGTTAGTTGGATATTTAAGTTGACCCACCGTACTCAGTGCAATTTGTTTACCGCTTCAAAGTTAGCAGAGGACAGAAGTAATTTATTGTTTCACTTATCTGATCCTGACTGGTTAGCGGAAGACAGGTGTTGTGCTGTAGAATGCACCCCTGCCGTAGAATGCCTCCCCTCCACTGATTAGCTTCTTAAAGTGGAAGAAATATGATCTCATATTTAAAAAAACACGAGTATTAGATCATGACAACATGTCAAATGGAGCAGTAAACTTTCGTTTTGTTTTTATGTGTCTCAAAAATGCACACATAAAAGTGTACTTGGGTATATAAACTGTACAGTTAGCTGTTAAGGTAGAGAACATAATATTTTCGGGACAGTAAATATTCCGAATCAGAGGGCTATTGTTTTCGGCATATCTGAATAGCCTCAATGAAATCATTAAAGACACACGCTTTAGATTCCGTCCAACGGTAAGAAAAACTTGGATTGTTTCACCTTGTTGTGTACTTTCGACCGCGCTCCCGTCAGGGGTGCATTCTACGACACAACACCGGCGAAGCGCATCAAAGACGAGCACTCGGGTATTTCTCCTCCATGAATCCTGAGGTGTTTAATCATGTTGGTCGTTTACCCTCCTTTGCATGATATAACGGTATTGCTAATGTTGCATTGAGATAAGAGTTCATTCTTCCTGCTAAAGTTAGCCAAACTTTTGACCAACGAAGAAGAAGCTGCCGAACACCAACGAGGACGGAGCGTATGAGACGAAGTCACACAGAGAGAGGAGAGAGACAGAGAGAGAGAGAGTACATGTAACCCACAGCGGCTGCATTGCTGTGGGTTGCAATGTACTTTCTCTCTCTGTCTCTCTTCACTTTCTGTGGGCTTCGTCTCATACGCTCCGTCCTCGTTGGTGTTAAGCGGCTTCTTCTTCGTTGATTTTCGGCGGCTATTTCTTCCGGTCGGCGGACTCCAGCATCGAAACTTGGAATCGAAATTCTAATATTTGAACGATATCGGAAGAATCGAAATTTTAGTCCCGGTCCCCATCGATTCTCGATACCCAACCCTACACATCACCATAATACTTTACCGAAACCAGCCAGATTTCTGTGCTCATAATACTGCCAGTTTCCAGTCCTGCTATGTTCCCTCTGTTTGTCAACTGAACCATGGTGACTGAATCTGAGCATGATGCATTTGAGTTGAAGCAGATTAATATACAGTTGATCATGTTTTGATTATTACAGTGAAGAAAAAAGGGGAGATATCAATATGGTCACTAAGTATTTTTCCCCAAGTAGCCCAATCACAAGGCTTGCTGTCCATTTTGAACCCCTACTTCAGAGTTTTAACTGATAGATGTCTTTAAATCATACTTGAAGTTGTTTTCCAGGTGAGAGTAATCAGAGTTTGTGTAATGTCACCCTTCAAGTGTGTGTTTAGATCAGGGAGGTGGAAATGCAGCTTTATGTGGTCTGTCAGCAATTACTGCAGCTCGTAAACACGACCTCCTCTAATGACTTTAAGCAGCGGTGGGATTGGACTTCCAGTCCTGAAGTGTTCAGGTATGTAAATATGTCAAGGTGTTTTGGCCTGGTGATGACAGAGCAGTCTTTCTGCAGCAGATGCTCTGTGATGTTGCATCCCCCTCAGTCTGGGGCTGATTGCCTCCTGTCTGCTGGATCAAGGTGATCTGCTGGGCTCCACAGCAGTTGGAGGCTGTTTAATTGATTTGGGTCCAATTAAGTGACTGTTGGGGGTTTGCCATTGAAGCATGTGACCTTCCAACACTTCAACACTTTGTTTAGCATCGCTGTGAGAGTTAGGGATGATCAAACAGAGCCAGCTGCACTAAAGATAAATCGATGTCATTAAGTACCGAGGCTGCCCGTGAGTCTTATGTGCTCACCTGTCTGATGTACAGAAACCTGATTCTGATCAGAAAACCATGGGAAGGCTGATAAACTGCAGCCAAGCGAGGTGAATCAATCAGTGGTTTGCTGGCTCAGCCTCCAAAAAGCCATAAAGTGAGTTAAAAACCTGCTGTGAAACTTTATGAGAGGGATTCAGGTGCAAAATCTGTGGTTGCCATTTCATTTATGGCCTTTTTTTTTTGTAATGATTATGTCATATATGTATGAGTTCATTACTTTTTATAGACAACAAATACTTATATTGCTGGGTGCAAAAAACACACTTTGCACAATTGGGGCCTGATTTTCTAAAGTTTTGAGTGTTTAAAATGCACCAACTTTTACTGACAGCACACAGTGTGGATTGCATCTTTAAAACATACAGATAATACATGTTGTCGATTAAGCAAATTCATTTGGATGAAAATGCAAAATCCTGGAAGGAGAAAATGCAAAGAAGTGAATTAAGCACACTTTTTGTGTATAAAACAGTACAACTAAAAATACATATATTCCAGGCTTTTACTTGTGGCCAGCTCATAGCCACTGTAGCTTCCAGAGAATAAAATTCTGTCTCTACGTCATCTGTTCACCAATATCATCTTTGTTCTTGAGGGTTCCCTCCTTTACAACATGCATGTTTTCCACCAGGGTGAACTCCTCTCAGTTGTACTCTCTCTTGTCTTCGTCGTTCCTCTTCATTTTATTCATACTTCTTTGTTTTCCCACAAATATTTCTCCTCTTTCACTAAAACCTGTAATTAGGTTGACTTTCATTTTTCATCTGCTGTCAGTCTAATTTCTGTTCAAACAATAGCCTGTATACTAAATGGACTCCGTCTGCCTCCTCGCTGGGTGAAACCAGTCCAAGAACAGCAACCTCTGGTGACAGGCTGCAGTATAGGTCAGAAGTCCCAACTCCACCAGCAAAGCTTACAGGGCTATGGACAAACTTTAGAAATGTATTACACAGAATATATACTTCTTTAATTTATGAATAAAACTCTCAAACATATAACAGCAACTATGGATGATGGATTAAAAGTAATTATCTGAGCATTAACAAACCCTGTCTCAAGGCATGAGGCTGTTGCCCAGCTCCTCAGTGAAAAGCCTGCTCTT